AGTGTTACAGATATTCCACCAAACGCTAAAAAACATCAGTGAAGAACAACTTAAGGTTCAAAGTGTAACTTACAGAGAGTAACGAAGGTTTTGCCTCAATATATTTGGGTTGGATTGGTTTGAGATGAGTTACGGCCAAGAATCCCAACCGGAGTGCAGTTCTTTATCAGAGAAGCAACCTTCGTACAAGGCTGGTGGGAGCTGAAAGCTCGGGTACTTTTCAAGAGAAAGTTTTATTTTGACAAGATAGCAAAAAGTCAAGTATCCTACTGTGTAGATGTTATGCTGCAAGAAAAAGTCTGGAATTACTCTGATAAGACTCTAAACGAATGACCAGACACTATGTAGCAACTTCAAAAAAAAAAACTCTAGCAAGTCGATAGACTTTAAAAAAATGTCTAAAATTGTACTGGGTAAATGCCATATTGCAAGAAAATTTCTGAAATTACGTTGGGTACTGAAATCTGGAGTCTGATTGGAAAACAAGTCTGGAATTGCAACGATCAGGTATTATACAACGAAAAAAAATTATATTGATATAAATAGAAAGTTATTGCCGTATTCCAAACCACAACGTCTGTAAGTTGCAAAGTCTGTAGTTATATTGATAGGATGGTATACTGTAAGAAAATGTTTGGAATTATCTTGATTAAGGGTTAATCTTGAAAAACAAGATTAAGCCGAGTTCCATACTGCAAAAAAAGCAATAACTGCATTGACAAATTTCTGGACTCAAAGAAAACTCAAATTCAAAAACATGTTTGGAATTACCTTGACCATACAGTACAGAGTAAGAAAATGTTTGCAATTATCTTACCATGCTTGATACTTCAAGATAACGTTAGAAATTATACTGGCTAAATCTCAAACTGACAAACAAATCTAAAAACCGACGATATAGCAAACTGTAAGAAGAAGCCTTTAGTTACACTTGCAAGACTCCATATTTTAATAAAATATTTGTAATTATATTGAAACATACAAAGATACATACAAGTTTAAGCGACACTTTGTGATGAATCTTGACTGAGACAAACATGAATCTAAGTTTAGGTGTATGAATTCATTTCGATTAAGAAACAGAGCTTATGAGCAACCCTTCTTTCAACAACTAAAGGTCCAAAGAATACCTTAGCAGTGTATAAGAGAGGAATGAAGGTCAACATTGGGTTGGGATACAGATGATAGGATAGAAGAGGTTCGAGTTCGCTTTTAGTTATTATATTTATGATAATTCCTCCATGCCTCTCTCGTCACCGCGACTTATAAGACCTATTGTAACTTTAGCCCTCCAAAAGTTTAGGGCAAATGTAGGTCCTTAATGAACCTTAGTATTGCTTCAAGGTCTTGTTCCTTTATTGGGGTAGGTGTTAAAAGAGGTTTACCGAAAATTTTGTGTCTGAAAAATTCTGACTCGTCCTTGCAAAGTGACAAGTTTGATCCTCAGCTTGTCCAATGTGGAAGAGGTGGTATTTTAGGGACGCATGGTCGATCAGAAAACCTGAGAGCGTCCTTAGATCCCCTTTGCTGGGGCATAAAACTTCGTTGGTTTTGTTTTGCGATGCAGTTATTATATTCTTCGCTGGTCTATAACTTGGAAGTTCTTTCCAGCATAAGGCTACCTTTGAGGCCTCCCAACTGTTGATTACTGGGTTGTGGTCCAATGGTTCACCTTCTCATTGCCCTCAATGTCTCTGTGACCTAGAACCCACCAGAGTAACATCATTGCTCCTAGCAAAAAAATATAACCTTATACAGCTGGTCGAAATTCTGCCGGTATAAGCACCGTTTTAATATCAATCAAGTGATTTAGACATGGGTCTTTGAAGATTGCAGAAGTAGGGTCGGTTGTACAATATACCGATAAATCTACCTGATATCTATCCGGCCGATAAACTTATCAGATATTCGCTGTTGTACAAACTGTTCTTGTCGGTAGGATTGCTATGGGCGAAATAAGAGTCGGTTGGTAGTAGTTTTTACCCATATCTAATGATTTATGCCGTAGATTGGTAACGCTAACGTCTTTTTTGAAGTTTGAATTATGATGTTGACAATAATAATTGTTTAAAAAAAATTTCATTATTTTCGTTAACGTTTAATGTTATAGTAGGTTAACCTATGCAGTAACCATACAAAGTTTTTATATAAAAACCTTGGTAACCATAAATATCTGGCGGATAAGTGTCTTATCGGCACCGCTGAGTACCCGATAAGTTATCCTGCCGATAATCTCGCCGACAAAAATATCCCTATATTGTAATACAAGCTAGCTTATCTGCCAGATAATACTGTCGGGAAGTTTATCGGTATTTTTTTTTTACGTTTCATCAATATTCCACATAGTAAGTGGCTTTCACATTTAGATTTACCCATAGATACATCCATAGTATAATTCGTTGCTATTTAGACTTTCTGTCTTCTCTTTCGATCGGTTTTGGGATTTTCCAATTTTACGGTTGGGTTGGGTCTGCGGCAAATTGATCTTTTCGGTGGTCCGGATAGTTGTCAAACGACACTTTAAATTCACAAATGCGTTTCAATTTTAGAAAGAGTTGATTCCAAAGAATTTCTAGGAGGTTGTTTTGTTTGCATTTCTTGTTGTCAATTTATACTACATCTTATTAATTAATTCGTCACCCCAGAATTATCTTGACTTCTTTCCAAAAATAACAATAGCAATTAATAATAGGATAACACTGGAATATAAAATAATGTTTATCGTCTGTAGATAATAATAAAGTGCTTTTAAAGCATATTTGATTAAACGTGATATTATTGTATGGATAGGAAAAGTTAGAACAAATTAGAACAAATTTTTGCAGTCATCTAGATTATTTTAAATTCATTTATGAAACTTTTATGAATACTAAACAATTTAGGAACTAATGGAAGTGGACTTCAAACTTGAAACTTCTTTATATGGCTCTCGATGGAGGTTCTCCAAAACTTTTGTTCACTACTATATACAATTTTAAGCGAATAAAATAAATATTAGCTCTTATAGTAAAACATCTCAACATTTTTTGTAAACTTAATAGAAATATTTTAAAATAGTTTAAGGAGTGTATGTTTAGATAAAAGACCATGTTTGACTGTGTGTTTGCGTAATGACGTAAATCCGATGAAAAACCACTATTTCCTTTTCGATTACTCGACCAACCGTTGGTGTCGTTTGTTTTGCACGATACGCCACTGCTTTATGAGGATATAACGGAACCGGAACGTCGTATTTTGAAATGATGGGGTTCGTGGTTGGATGACAAAATTTCAAATTCACCACGATGGAGGTGTTAAAACCTGGTTGATTATTACCGGTATAAATCTTGATTTAAAAAACTTTTAAGTTAAATCAGATTTATGGTTTTTGCTATCTCGGTTTTTTTAATGAACCGTATTTTACCATTAGGATGTTTACGATTTTTCTTTCTTCATTTAAAATTTATTTGATCAAAATTAATGTTACATATGAAAAGTAAACAAATACATGTTAAAGTAAGCAACACAGCGATTAAGCAATCAAATTATTATCTTTTTTTTTATTTTTGTAATTAATGACCTACCTTTCATCGTTTAAATAAATTGTTATTTTGATTAATTGTCCATCGGTTTGCCCTCTCCGTCCCATAAAGCTTTTATCGGTACCGTTGAAATATTGGGCTCTATAAAACAACAGTTAATAAAGCCCCTTCTTAATAAACCTCTATCTTATAAGAATTCCCCACCTCTATAAAGTCCAAGGGTACACGATTTAATTAAATTCTTCCTCATTTTCCATAAATACAATTAAAGAGGCACGTTTTCTGTATGTATGTGTATTTAATATTAAATAAAGACCTCAAGATGCAATAAAATTTAATATAACAAATTGAGGGATTAAATTTTTTTTTAATTTTTAAAGAAAACGAATCCCTTTGAATATTATTTAAGCTACTTTGAACTCTAATATCACCTGCCGAGTCTGAATTAATCATCAAAGAAACGAAACTTAAGCTTTTTTCAAAGGTAATTTTTTATTTATTTTTTAATTTATTTTTTTTAATTTTAAAATGTTAAATCTATTGATATAGTGACAAAAAATTCTTTGTATCTTTTTATTAAATTCCCCAACAATTTCCACGAACAATTACAACTTCGTCGTGAGATAGTATATCAAATATTAAACACGAAATCGATTTCGCGAGGTAAACAAACAACAAAACTGCGTGCGAAACATTGATTTTTTTATCAACGTCCTCACCATAAATTAAAAATAATAATTTTATTCAAAATACCTTTTCACCTCAAATCTTCTTTACTTGAAAAAAATTTACCAAAAGCACATTAAATAAAATATTAAAATAAAACTTATTTATTTATGTTTTGGTTTCACATTAGCACATTAAAATTGAAGCACATCACTTATTTTTAAAAAAATTATGAGCCATAAAAAGATCTGTTTGCAACAGATGATTTGGGTGCACGATTTTAGCTGAAGCTGTCACTTAACAGGTTAACAAAGACTGGGGATTGGTTTAGGGGCGCGTTCGTTTGGCACGATTTTCCAACCAGAAAACTAACTTTCGTTATTGTTTCTTTTCAGTGACGACAGTTTTTCCCTACGGATAGGATCGCGTTGAACCCTCGGGATCACACCGTATAGGCGTCCACGTGCGACTGTCGACTAGATTGTACTACGGAGTGAGTCCAGGCTTTTGGCCCCACCCCCAACATCGATCCGGGAACGTGTTATCACGAATTGTTTTGATAGATACTTCAGTTGTATTCTTATAATTTTCGATAACAAAAAAGTTAAGTAAAAGTTTCCAATTTATTGTTTATTGTGATAAAATTATTTAGAATTTTCGCAACCGTTCACGAGCTGAGTTTATTTTACTAAACCATATTTGCAATCATGATTGCAACTTAACCACAGACCTTGGTAAAGATAACGTTTTCAATGGATATTTATTTAATGAAACATAAATTGTGATTACTAATAAAATTATTGCAAAACTTACCCGTTTGTGTGCTACAATCAAAAAAAGTCGAAGATGTTTCAACAGTCATAGAAGCGATAGTTCCATCGATAATTTGAGCACAAGAATCCCTCCTTCCTCGATACCTTGAAGTATCATCACTTTGAGAACTTTGCCTTCTAAAATTTCTGCATCGAATCATTTCTTCCGTTGTGCTCTGCCTTCGAAATCCTCTAGCAATGAGAATTTCTTCGGTGGTGGATTGCCTTCGAATGGTAGGTCGATGAGTTTCTGGAGGTGGTGGTATCGGTCTATTGCAAGGACTTGGATCCCTGGAGGAACAGCTTGATGAATCTGGTGATCGATGACCATGACCCCGCGCTATACTTGTTGATTGTCTACGAAGTCTTCCTCGCCTACTCGTCCTTCTTACTGGACTCAATTCCCTTTCGCCCGATCGATCCGGACTGAGATGTGACCTGGAATCCCTTCGGCTCCGCGATGCCGAGTCGGGGCTTAAGGAATCTCGACGTGCTTTTCTTCCTGTGTCGTCCACGTCCGGGCTTAAGGCGGAAGGTTGGGACCCTCTTCGGTTCCAGCCACCCGGTGGTAGGCAACTTTCGTCGTAAGCTGTATTTTGTCTTTGAAGGCGAGAAAGTTTTGAACTCCGTTCCGGAGAGGCGTGAGACCGAGAATCTCTTCGGCCTAAACGTCCACATTGAGTTGTAGAATCTCGTCTTGTTGATAATAAAGGGTGAGTTGGGGTAGTTGCTTGAACTGTTGGAGAAGTAGCTGGAGGGGTGACACTGGAAGTTATTATTGTTGGAGGAGGAAGAGTATGGTTGTTTGTATCGGTGGCAATACTACAAGTAGTTGGTGGATTAACTGGTAAAGAAGGAAGCCCAGGTTGTCCAGCATCCGAAGCTGTGGAAGAAGTGGATGGTCTTTGTTCTTGCCTGTAGTAACTAGCATCGTTTAGAGTTTTGGAATCTCTTCTTTTTCTATGAGCAGCTACGACTTTAGGTGGTGGTGTTGCTAATTGGGTTGAATCCCTCCTGCTACTTTTTCCACTTTCTCCAGAACCTCTCCTTGAAGTTCCATGACTAGCTGAATCCCTTCGACTCCTACTTGATTCTCCAGAATCTCTCCTCGGTGTAGAGCTGGCCGTTATCACCGTAGTTGTGGTATTACTCTCCCTCCTTTGCCATAATTTAGCAACTTCCGATCGAAAATCAGACAAAGCTGTTTGATGGGAATCCCTTCTAGACTTATTTGAGAGACTTTTGATGCCCGAGTCTGCGCTAGATTCCCTTCTTTTCCTTGATGTCGTGATACTAGGAGTAGATCCTTGCTCTGTGGTCGTCTGTCTGCCCCAAGGTAGACTCCTGGCTAGATCCGCCAGCGTTTCCCGTCTGCACAGCGGTGCTTTTTGTCGTTTTGTGGAACCACCCCATTCTCGTAGGATGTCGGTCAATTGAGCGAGAGAAGAACGACGCCTTCGCGGTGGGCCAGTTTGCGGGGGTGACGTTTCTTGCGTCTCCGTCGGTGGAGAGATGCTCGAAATTTGAGCTGCGGAATCTCGCCTGCCTCCAAGACGCTGACGGATAGTAGATTCCTCTACTTGTTCCCGGACTAAATCGTCCCATCCGTTTCCACCCTGCCATACCAATCCCACTTGATAGGAGTGGATCGGTAGGTTGCAGACGAAGCATATGGCCGTCATCGTCCTACGAAGAAATACATGGTCATCAATTTGTTATGATTAATTATTTGTAGTATTTTAGGTAGTGCATGATCCGTTTTAATATTTTACATCAAGTTTTGCATGATTAAAGGAATACTTGGTAAATATTATTAAAACAGGTCGCGTTTTGATCAACAAATTGGCGGTGCAAAACATGCTCAGCAAAGAACAACGGATTTTAAGTGTTTCATTTCGTGCAGAGTTCGAGTTCGGACCTGTAGTGGCGCAGGCGCGGTGACGATAGCTGCGCCATGATTCATTCTGATGGTCAGGTATGGTCCCCCTCGTATACTGCAGCCAATCGACCTACGATGTACGAAAACAGACATTGAACATTCACAGGCAAGTTTGAACAAGTGTCTAGACGGCGATGCGTCGATATTTTTTACTTTATTGATGAGAGATGAGTTGAGAATTTTAAACGCCGAAATGATATCGATGTTTCAAATTTTAAATTTAATTTTTTTTGATAAGCCAATTAATTACCTTTTATTTCGAGGGTATAGTTTAGTGTTTTCTTTTTCGGTTGGTGGCGGCCGATCCGGAAGAAGTCGAATGGTTGTTTATTGCTAGAGTATTTTATTTAGTTTAAGCTGAAACTAACACATAGATTTATAGGGGTGTTGGAAGTAAGAAGGGGATCATTCACATTTAAGCAAACACATTTATTAAAAATGTTTATAAGTAATGTAATAAGTGAAGAGGTTGAAAATGTTAAAAATAATAATAATAGAAAGTTGGGGTAAAGTTGGAGTTTTTCAAATTATAGTAAGGGTTAACTATGTTCAGGCTATCGGCAGGTAACAGGTGGTTTCAAACCTGTTGGGTACGTTCGGATTCTTTGGCAGCGTCGCCGGTTTGAAATATTCGAGGGTGAGATGTGTTTGAAATCCAAGAGGAGGGTAGAAGAAAGATTTCTATGCGAATAGTCTCACTTAGTACTCGGCGGTCTTAGCGCACTTTACATTTTTTTCAGATAACTGCAGGAGCTGTACAGAACACTGTTGAACCGGCTCGACGGTTCGGCAGCTAGCTTCAGACTGTGGACCGATAGGCAGCGTAGGGGTGAACTTTGCAAGCTCGCCCCGGCGCCATTATTGATTTTGATTTTTCAGCGTGGCAAGTCTCCCCACCTCGATGGTGCGTTGGACGCAACACGCAGCTTTTGGGACTTTTGATTCTAAAAAAACTTCAATTTTTAGAAAGCAAACGCCGTTTCAGTTTTCCTACTATTTTAACCCACTATCCTTCAAAATCAATACTACATCCACGTATTTCGAAATTCATTACAGTTTGTTAACTAAACTTATTACGAGCTTACGTTGGTAGAGAAAGCTTAAAGATAATTGACCCTAAGGCATTTTATATGACTCTACCTTACAAAATTCGAAATTCTCGTCATTAGAAGTAATGACGTACTTAAAGGTCGTTTATTTTTACTTCATATTATTACGAGTAGAGTAAGCACTTATTGCGCTTTTGATCGTAATGAAATGAAATAGAGGTATTACACGACAACGAAAAAATAAGATAAAAGAAAAAAGAACGTATTGGATTCGGCATATTGTAGAAAGTGCAAAAGGGAGTTGAACAAAAGGCATGTTCCGATGGGAGAATTAAACAGCTCGCTCAGATAAGCGGCACTCTGACAACTGTTGCTTTGTCGATGTTCCATACAAATGTGTCCGGACGGTTGCGTCATATGTCATCCTTAACATTAACGAGTCATTCCTTGCACTCAACATTTAAAAAAAAATTTAATCATTAAAAGTTCTCATAAAAAAGGAAGTAAATTAAATTTTTTGAAAATATAATTAACTTGGACCACGAAAAGCGTTTTAAATTTTACTGTTGAACTCTTTTGCATATTTTCTGTACTAAAAATTTAGGTTGGCGTAAAAAATTATGTGGTCGTACTAAAAGTTTTATAGTTTTAAGGAAATCTATGTAAGAAAATTGTTTTTCGTAACGATAAAGTTTAGGAACGATCAAATTTACGAACTTTAAGTTTAAAATTAGTAATAACTTATTTAAAGTTGACATATTTATTTAAAAATATAGAGTTTCTTTTAAATTTAGAAATAGTTTAGTAATAACATAGTTAAGTTGTATGCCATAGCATTACAATCTTTTTGTGCTGTATGTTTTAGATAATACCTGATACAAAATAAGAAGAACATGCACCCAAATTCTTAATCATAGCATAAGTATAAATAAAGATCCCATCTGTTAACAAAAACCATAAACAAGTTTTATCTAAAACCATCTTGAAACAATTTATCTTGAATCTAAAACTAAACCCATCTAGCTGCGACTCTTGGGAGTGATCTAATTATGATCAGGAAAATTGTCAAAACTGGTTGGTACAAATTTGTGTTTTCAGATGTTGATTACGTTAGTGGCAAAAATTGCAGTTGTTTTGAATGATAGTTTCGAATTATCAACTGATTTAAGCAAAAATTTAAGCAGAGAACCAGATGTTGGTTCGAATTCTGTTGCAGTAAATACATCTGGATTATAAGGCTAGATTCTGATACTATATTTGTGTAAACAATTTACTAATTGGGTTACACATCTGCCACTTTATGTATACGATGTGCTAACTTTCACAAAATGATCGCACCCAAATGAAAATTACTAAGAAAGTTGTTAGTCTTGTAACTATACAAGAAAAATACCTTTAAGTCTTGCAGAAGTTGCTCAGGCAGTGCCTTTGGTGGAAGATGGACGCAGCGCTCGTTATGTTGCTCGTGTTCTTGGCGCACCAATCAAAGATTTCAGCAGACTGGCACCTTCATCAGACGATATGGGTCAGCAAGAAGGCGCACCACACAACCCCGTAATGATCGATATATTGTAACGACCGGGTTACGAAATCAACATACCACAGCAGTTGAGATAAGAACTCGTCTGGAGCAAGTTTGGCAAGGAGCGAGTTTGGAGAAGAGCAGGAGAGCGTAATGCTCAGTGCAACTTCTCTGAAAGAGTACAATACCAGGGAGGATCTGTAATGGTTTGAGGATGAACCTGCTTCGAAGCACGTACGAAGCTTTGTTTTATCAAAGGCAATCTAAACGCGGCTCGGAATATTGAAGAAATGTTGGCTGCACACGTGGTCTCCTTCGGACCATTTATTGGTGACAACTTCTTGTTCATGCACGATTATGCACGTTCCTAAAGAGCCTGCATAGTATACCAATACCTGGATGATTTGGATATCAGCAGAATGGAGTGGCCTGCACGTAGCCCTGATTTAAACCCCATACATATGTGAATAGAGACGAGAATAGCGCTAGAAGAAGAGTGGAACCAGATCCATAAAATGAAAAACCTGATTCTAAGTATGTCTCGAAAGATGAGGGACACCATTCAAGCGAGAGGAGGACTTGTCACAGTTTAATACACTACAATACATTTCATGGACATCTATGACTTGCTTTAATTTCTGATGTCGCTGCCGAACAAGCTGCGTTATCTTTTAGAGCTTGTAACTTTGTGCGTGTTAACAACAATAGAAACTTGAACTATAAACAGAAGTGATCAGAACAAACAAAACTACAAGCTCCTTATGTTTGTCGGTACACTACACAGCAAGCTTCAAAGTGTAGGAAGAAAACACGCATTAGCGTTATTCACCATTGCTGAAATTGAAGATACACCAAAATGAGGGAGGCACGTATAGAAATGCACAGGGTAGACCTTTCAAATAAAAAAGCCTTATTCAAATCGAGCAATACGTTCAAAAGTTATTGCAGTTTAAAACTGGTTATTATTTTAGGTGATGCGTTTTTTATGCCGCTGAGTGTATAAATAAATTTTTGCCCATCACATTTTATTCAAAAAATGTAACCCTTACGATTCATGTTTTTTTCTGTGATAAATTTCAAACATTTTCCTGCATGTAGGGGAACGTTACAGGAAGAACGCATATATGCGGTGGATGTTTTTTGCAGCGGTGCAGACTTTACGAGCTTTTCGCAGGTTTTAAATTCTCACATTGCCAACAATTCGAGTTATTTTGTATTTCCTCACCTTTTCTCTCTGATAGATCATACCTCGGCAATCTTTTATTATATTCAGTAACTGATGTTAATTTCTGCTCCATTCCATTTCTATCAATTCATGCTAACGCAAGCTTATAAGGTATAAAACTATATCTTTATAATTTTTTTGTACATTGCTGTAATATTTGGCGTAATATGGGATAGGTATTGATTAGCACGAATGGGTGATGCAAATTGGTTTCATGCCATTCTTTTTTGTTCTTTTATTCATACACTCGGCCATATTTGCTAACTTCCATGTACTTATATTTCAATGCAACAGATTTTACATATTTCGGCATTCTGTTTTCCATAAATGTTTGTTTTGTTGTGAGTCGTGCCATAAATTCTATTGAATTGCCTACATAACCAGATGTTGCTTCACTTACCATATGGACTAAAATTCCATATTTTATAATTTTTGCAGGGTTATGTTATCTAATCTTTCATCTATTGTTTGGCGTATGCCTACGACTTGGTGGTGTTCGCGAGGGAGGCTGGCGAGATGAGGGCAATGATGTGGTCGCTGGAAAGGTATTTTAGCTGAAAGGATTTAGAGGTGAATGTAGACAAAACCAAAATGATGAAGTTCCATAAAAAGGGTCGAAAGAAGACTGGAGATGGGAGAAGAGGATGATCGAGGAAGTGAAGGAGTACACATACTTGGGGTGAGATTTAAAGAGAACAACATGGAGGGAGGACATATTAGAATGTTGGCAGCGAGGGCGAATAAGGTTATGATGTAAAAGGTTTAAAAGTGGCAATGAAGAAAGGGCCAATAGATATGGGATGAAGGATGAGGAGAGAGGGTGCAGACTATGTGGGTTGAGGAAAGAGGAGATGGATTGGAGACAGCTACTGGGGGAGAGGGCGAAGGGAATGAGATGGATGGGGGAGGTGGTGGCAGCGAGGAGACGTAGGATGACAGGGAAATGCTGGTTAAAGGGATAAGCATTTTATAAGTATTGTACTTAGTATAAATTGTAACCTTCTCGGAAACAATAAATCATTATTTTTATCTTTCGCGATATTTCCATATCTTCCGAAATCTATTTCTTGGAATTATGCAATATGTCTCGAGTTTATACAGGCATAAAAGTCTGGTTCAAAATCAACTTCTGACCTACTGATTGTATGTAAAAGAGTCCAAAAATGATTGGGACCTCCTATATTTTGAAATCGTTCAAAACTGATCTAATTAAACTAAGGTTAATCGTGATTTGGAGTTCGTGGCTCTGATTTCTTACCAACATTGTTTGTAAATCAATCCGGACAAGTCATCCATACTACATTTTGGTAACAAAAAAGCTCTTGAGTTTCTTTTCGGAAAACTCAAATAGTGTTATTGCAGGTAATTTGATCTCTGTTGTAAATACAGCGAGGAGCCTTAAAAATTTGAGGTAAATATTAAAAATTTGGTGCAAAAGTCGTTTACTTCGTTGAACTTAAGTCGTCATTTTTTAAATCATAAGTTGAAGAGAACATTGTGTGAATCGAATTATTGCGATTTCATTTATGGCCCTTGTTTGACGTCGGTATGCAAGTTGAGATTGCAAAAAATTCAAAACTGCTACTCAAAATTGATATTAGGTCTACGTAAATATGACCATATCTCTCATGCATGCAAAGGGTTGAACTGGATAAAAATGGACAATCGCTGGCGGCATCATATGGTCTGTTTTGTTTATGGCTTGCTGACTTCCCCTACGGGCTGCGGGCTTACTACGCGTTGTTGCAAATTTCTCGTAATACCACGGAAATGTTTCAGAGATTTTTTTTATAATGCCATTAAATTATATAATAATCTTCCAGTTGATTTAAACCAAATGAAACACGTTTTTCCAGGTCCAGTAAGCAATTATTTTTGTCATTATCATAGATGTGAATAAGACTAATACTAGCGATTTGTATGAATTAAAGTAATTTTACTTCAGATGATTAAGCTCCGCTATTATGTAATTTACTATATATTGTGTTTTAGT